TCGATTGAAACGTCATTGTCTCGACCGGCCATTATGACTGAGAATCGGTTTTGACCGTACACACTAATATTTTCACCATAACTAATATAAACAAATTAAATTAATATCTAAAATTTCGTATTTGATCTGACAAAGTTATATAAAACAGGATGAAGTGAGTATTATGTCTATTTTTCCGGTAGTGGCTTTTTCCATCAGCATTAAGAAAGAGATACTGTACTTGAGTATGTAGGTATAAAAAGGAAGAATTAAACATCTTCGACAGTCACGTGCAATTCACATAACAAATAATTTAAGGGTTCTATTCCCTCAAGTCAAGGTTAACCACGACACTTACCTCGCTTAGCAAATTCCAATCAATTACTCGATCACAACTTTTCCTTTTAAATTTTTCTCCAAAAGCTTCAAATCTATTCACAAACAATTCGATATACTCAATATGAATGATAGGAATTAATTACATATGAATTTACAATTTGTTTGGATAAAAATCCGAAATTTATTAAAATATTCGGCAGTGGGACCCACGTCTCAAATCTCAAAAAAAACTTACGAAATCTGAACACCCATTCCGAGACGAGTCCAACCATACAAAAATTATCCAATTCCGATGTCAAATGGACCTTCAAATCTGTAATTTTCGTTTTTGGAAGATTTTTATAAAAATATGATTTTTCTTCCATAAATTAACAGATTCATGATATAAATGAGTATGAAATCATGAAATATAATCAATATAGGATAAGAAACACTTACCCCAATGTTTTTCTGTGAAAAACGCCCAAATATCGCCTTACCCGAGCTCAAAAATGGAAAAGAGTTGAAAATGGGTTGAAACCCCATTTCTAGAACTTAAGTTCTGTTTTCGGGATTTTTACCCTTCGCGATGCTTGCCTGGCTTGCCTTCGCGAACGCGAGATGCCTGGCTTGGCCTAGCTTGGCCTTCGCGATGCTTGCCTGGCTTGGCCTTCGCGAATGCGAGATACCCTTCGCGAACGCGAAGGCTAATTTTTCCCCGCGAACGCGACGCTTCGACCGCGAACGCGAAGCTTTGAACCTCAAGCCTTCGCGAACACAGTCACTATGTCGCGAACACGAAGCAAAAAACGTGCGAGCCCCAATTTGCTCTTCTTCGAGAAGAAGAACACGCCAGAAGCCTGAAGTCTGCAGAAAACCAGATTTTCTAAGTTCGAAATCGTCCCGTAGCCCATCCAAAACTCACCCGAGCCCTCAGTGCTCCAAACCAAACTTGCACACAAGTCCTAAAATATCATACGAACTTGATCGCGTGATCAAATCGCCAAACTAACACCTAGAACTACGAATCGGACAACAAATCAAAGAAAATTTTTAAGAAAACTTTAAAACCTTTATTTTTACAACCGGACGTCTGAATCACGTCAAATCAACTCTGATTCTCACCAAATTTGACAGACAAGTCATAAATATTATAGTGGACCTACACCGGGCTCCGTAACCAAAATACGGACCCGGGGTCAATAAATCCAACATCAGTAATTTCTTTAAAATCATTAAGCTTTCTAGCTTTTAATTTTTCATCAAAATTCCATATCTCGAGCTAGGGACCTCGAAATTCGATTCCGGGCATACGCCCAAGTCCCAAATCATGATACGGACCTACAAGAATTGTCAAAACACTAATACGGGTCTGATTTCTCAAAATGTTGACTAAAGTCAACTCAGTTGAGTTTTTAAAGCTCTAATTCACATTTGGGCCTTTACTGCAGGTGTCTTACATTTGTTTTCACTATATTTAACTTGTGCAAAAGATGAAAAGAACCAACGCTAGAAGTAGTCGAAGGAAGCCAATAAAAGTATTAATACAATGTCATTTCCGTGTATGACGGTCAAGATGTTCATTTTACTTTTGCATCTCCAGATGAACTCAACTGATGATGTTGTTAAGAACTCAACATATGATGCATCCTCGGGTTGCTTTAATGTGCCTACCCGGACAACTTCTGTGTTTGTTGAGCCTCGGTAAAATTTGGTTTATTGAACCTGGTCCAGTAAGTTATGCTAGTGCATCATCACTTCACAGTTAAATTCAGCAAAATTTGTGCAAGGCCTTCTGCTTATCCAAACTTGTACATGAATTGTACTTGTTATGTTCAGTTCTAAAAAATGGCCACCGGAGGATCAAGAAATAAGTAATAGGCTTATGGTTGGACATATATAGACAATTTTGGATCCGGGAGCAATGGAAGGGAGAAAGGTTCAGTTAGAAGAGAATATACCACAAAAATTATCCATTTTTCTGCTTATTTACCAGGGAATTAAGTAACCAGAAAGAAGCTTTGTCTTTTAAGTTGATAATCAAAGAGAATTGCTATGTCAAATATTTGTGTAATACTAGTGTCTTAAATTCAATATTTGTTTTTCTAGTTATTTAAGTACCTTCTTTTTGTATCAAATTTTAATAAATTCCACGATTTTTGCGCTGTTTTGCTTCTTTAATCTGTCATCACGCACTAGTGAGATGAGTCTCGCTGGTAGCTGAGAACTTGCAGGCTGCTATTGATCTATATTTATTGGAATTTCATAATTCTGAAAGAGAATAAATAGACTTGAGAAAGTTGACTTCATTGTCTTTCTTTAATGCTATAGAAGCAAATATTTACAAAGCATTACTCTAATGAAGAAGAAAAATTTATTTGGTCATAAGGGGAAGTTTCTGTTCCCAACTCTACATGTACAGAGCACACTTCAGAACTGTTGGTGCTGCAATAAAGTGGAGATATTATTTGTATGCTGACATAGTCAATTGTTTATAACTAATCAGTTTAGGTTGATAGTATCCTTATTATTTGTACTTGGTCAACAATCCGTTTTTAATTATTGTATTGAATAGTATGATCACCTCATTTAAAAGTTTGAAAATATGATTTTAATTATGTCTTAACTCGTCCTCAGATCTGATTTTGTTTTTCTTGAATCAAGTTGTGGAGTTTTTTTTGGTCAATGGTGGCGGCAAGACGTGAACCTAGCATGTCTATCTGCTTTAATACCATATTCAATTGTATTTGCAAATCAATCAAAGGATCGAAGAGATTGTGTATTGTGCTAAAGATATATAGTCTTTGACAAGGGGTTGGTTTGAGAACATGAGGTGAACTTTGCCTGTCAAGTGTCAGTACTGTCTTAGGGCAATCTCCTTACGTGCAATACACAAACCAAAATAAAATCTTTCATGCAAGTTACTTGCCTTCCTTAACCCTTTTGCCACACTCTTTTTTATTGGCAGAATAGTAAACAAATTGCCACTTGGAATATGCATGCAATTTCACAAGATCTTATTCTAAGATTATAAATAAAGAAGTGAATAAACAAAACAAATATATTGTTCAGACTTAGATGTTTCCAACTTGGAGTTTCTTGATTAGCTAATGAGAGTTATTTCTGACTTTTCAACTGTTAAGTTCTGCAAAATTTATGGGACTTATAGTACATAGATGATAGATGTAGAGTAAGCATAGAACTATGTAGTCTCAGGTTCAAATGTCAGCAGAGGCGAAACATTAGGTAATTTCTTTTCATCTGTCCAAGCTTTGATAGATAGAGTTATTTAATATCTATGCTGGCCCAAATATCAAGATTATGATAATTTTTATGTAGATACCCTTACTGCTGCTGCTTTGATTGTGAGAAAACTGTCTAGAAAAGTTTTTACAAGACTAAACTTTGAAAATGGTGCTATAAAGTAAAAAAGCGTTTATGTTTAGTGACCTAAAATCTACATATTATATATAAAATTAGTGGCTCTTTAATCTAACAATTATGACCTGTATCAGAAAAGGGGGGGGGGGGGATGCTGACATTTTTATACGTTAATGCTAGTTTATTCTTAAGTGTGGTTAGATAAGCATACTTTTTCTTCGATGCTAACTCAATTTCATCCATACAGTTGTCCTCAATCCAAAATCCAATTCAAAAATCAATGGATTTATAAAACAATTGATTCAGAGTGGCTAGCTAGCTATAAGTTATTATCATGTATATTAATTTGATCATTGTCAAGAGGCGTATGCTTGAGATATGGGCTAGTATTTATTTAAAGGGTATCACTTGTTAAACAAAAGCTTCATTAGAAAAAGCCCCAAGCGATTAGCTCAATAACAAAGGTTGAGTGACTTGTATCACAGAGCCATCTCTGATATTTAAGTGGAGAAGGATAAAGAGGTGACCCAAAGGGTTAGATAGATTTCTCAGTCATAAAAAAAACCTTCATTAGACAAATAAAAGGGAAAGTATTAATAGCATATGCGTATTACATAGAGAGAGACATCTTGTGTGTGTGCAATGGCGGAACTAAGTAGCATGAAAGGGGTTCAAACCGAACCCTTTTGTCAGGGAATTACATTGTACGAATAGAGTAAAATTGATCTTTTTTTATTATATGTAAGTTATTGAATCCCTTTGATAATAAGAAAAATTCAAGTAAAGTAGTAAGGGGGTTCAAAATTGCTTCAGATGATAAGACTAAATTCCAATTTCCAACTGTGATATCCTAGATATTTTTTTAATCCCCTTATGGAAATTCCCGGATCCGCTAATGTGTATGTTTTATCAATCTTGTGAGAAGTGTAGTGTGGCAAACACTACTAGAAATTCGGCAAAAACAGACCAAGGTCGATCGACCAAAGTTGCTCGGTTTTTTAAAATATTTTATTTTTTAATTTTTTTTACGAAACCGACCAACTTTGGTCGGTTTTCTTTAGCGCAAAAAATGCGGGAAACTATTTTTGAGTCCCGCGAAATTTATTTTTCAAGAAACCGACCAACTTTGGTCGGTTTTTCAATTAAAATAAATAAAAATTAATATTAAAAAAGCCGGTTAATTGGGTCGGTCATTTTAAAAAACCGACCAACTTTGGTCGGTAATTTTATTTTTTAATAAAACCGACCAACTTTGGTCTGTTATTTTCGTGCGAAAATACAATTAAAGAGTATAAATCAAATAAAAGACAGTCTTAAAACAAAATGCACCAATGGTCTAGTGGTAAAATACTATCCCGCCACAGTACATATCCCAGTTCGATTCCCAGATGGTGAATCTTTTGATTACATGTTGGTCGGTTTTTTTTTGCAATTTTTTTTTTTGAATCTAATTGACCGAAAGTTGGTCGGTAATTTCCGACCAACTTTGGTTGGTATGCCTTTCCGACCCCTAAAATACCGTCTACATGTAAATGGTCGCGTTTTGGACGGTTATTGGCCATTACCGACCAAAGTTGGTCGATTTTTTTGATCGGTTTTTACCGGATTTCTAGTAGTGAAAGAATTAATAAGAACATGTATGTGAGGATCCAAGTTTTATGGAATTGTGAATGTACAGTACAGGCATAACATATTGCTATTGACTAATTACTGTAAGTGCATTATTGCTATTCACGTTTTTTAGGAAAAAGAGAAGCGATGGGAGATCCTGAAAAGGGTACTTAATTAATGTGGCAAATCCAGTCACTTATTATTGGCCTTTCGGATCTTTATTCCTCATCCCTTCATATGAATTGTGTGTATGCACATGCCGAGCCAAAATATGAAGTTTATGAATTATGAATATTCATAGATATTTAAATTTGTATTTCCTAATGCAAATAAAGGGTCTTAGCAAAAGTTACGTACTTAATACTCCGCGGCTCCCTTTTTTTTTTTTTTTTTTTTTTTTTTTTTTTTTTTTTTTTTTTTTTTTTTTTTTTTTTTTTTTTTTTTTTTTTTTTTTTTTTTTTTTATTGTTGTTGTTGTTTTCCACCCAGTGTCTGATACCCGTATTGGGACCTGACTAAATCGAGATTTGTATCGGGAAGTCCCATATTGGAGGGTAAAGTGTTCCCTAACAAGGCAACTTCATACCGAGAGCTTGATCCTGAAACCTCTGTTAAGGATGAATTAAGGAGTATTTACCACTCCACCACAACCTTACCGCTTCCTTTGTGTGTGTAATAGAGAGAGAACCCATGAAATCTAATTAGTAAGAAATAAAAAAAATTCTTAAAGACTCTGCTAGCTGGTGATGACAACTAATCCATGACAACTGCCTTCCTTAAAGTGGTTATACTTTCTCTCTCACTTGAGATCCAATCGAAAAACAAAATGAAAAACAAACTATAGTTTAAATCTTACCTTACATGTAGTGGGAACTAGGAACATGAAGCAAATAAAGCTGGCATTATAGAAAAAAATATAGTATGTGAGAAATTTTACTAATCCCCCACTTAATTAATGAATGTTATAAACTTGAAAAATATTTAAAGAATGTAAAGAATTCGTATAACAATAAGAAAATAAAAGAATATAATTGTTGGTGACTCCCATCTACAATTTTTTCACCATGTCCATGTATTAAAAAAAAAAAAGAACATGTACCATTTTCAATAATGACAATCAACCAGCTGTTGCCTTTGTGTTTGTTCTTGATCTTGTTGATTTAAGGATACAACTGGAAATTTTGGATCAATATGATCATCTGAGACTGGAATATTAAGGTCTAAAGACAACCCATCTCTTGGTTTCTTCACAATATTATTACCAAATTCTTGATCTATAGAAGTTGCAGGACTTAAATTGCTCAAATGCAAGGGTGAATATACATTAACGCCCCTGCGATGTCGTCTCATGTGACCTCCTAAAGCTTGTCCTGATGTAAATTCAGCACCACAATATGAGCATTCATGAATTCTAGGAGAAGAGAACTTGTTGGAAGAATTAGGCAATGTTTTTGTAACATTCTTGTTGTTTTTGTACAATGTTGTTGTTGATGGTGATAGTTCTTGATAATCATCTTCATCTGAAAAATCGAAATATGACTTCTTGTTTGATAATTCAGTGGTTAATATTGTCTTTGGTTTCTTGTGACTTGCTCTGTGTCCGCCCAAAGCTTGGAATGATGGGAATGTACGATTGCATGTCTTGCATTCGTACACATATATTCCTGCCTTTGTACCATTTGCTGAGTTGGTGGACGTCTCGATGTACCTTTTGCTGTTGAATTTGGTTTGGTACAACCTTAAATTGTCGTTGAAAAAATCGACTTTATTGTCTGGTGGCAACGTAAACCTAGGAGGACGAGGATGATCATCGCTTAATTTGGACATGAGGATGAGAGACTCGGCGGTTTCCTCCTCCTCATCGGTGAATGTGTTGATGAATATCTCGGCCGAGTTGGTCGAGGAGCGATTTGAATAGTTGTTATCGTTATTGTTGTTGGTGGTATTGTTGTTATAGGCGACAGCTTCTCCATTACCACTACCATCTTCGATATCATTATTGTTGTTTTTCCAAGCGACTATACCTTCTCCATTACCGTTGCCATCTTCTATATTATTGTTGTTATTCTTGCATGTGATACCTTCTCCATTGTCCTTACCATCTTCGATATTATTATTATAATTATTTCTGCAAGCGACTACATGACCTTCTCCATTACCGCTACCATCTTCTATAT